CTTCCAACCCCCCAACTGCTTTGTGGGAGAAAGAAATGGCAGTCGGCTCCTTCAGAGATCAAAAGCAAGTAAGCCATACAAAGGCAGCTCTAAGGTGTCTCAGTTTCCTGTCCATTGGAATTGACTTGGCAGCTGTAACAAACACAGGAAGGATAAGCCTGGAGGGTGGAGTCTGGCTTCCACATGTGCACAAAGGGGAGGAAAATTTAAATTACCATCATCAGTATTATTTCCTCATGGCCTATCATATGAGGCTAAGATCAGTCACATTCTTTTTATTTTTAATCATTTTAAACATACAACTCTTATCACAATCGATACATACATCAATTTTGCAAAGCACATTTGTACCTTTATTGCCCTCATCATTCTCAAAACATTTGCTCTCCACTTAAGCCAACCTTTCATACCAATTCTGACACAGGCCGCCCCTCCCACATCCTCTGTACCTCTCAGCTGGGCTCGATAATTTGTCGCAATGGTTGCATAAAACTCAGAGATTATACTCACAATTATGGACCTTATGGGGAAATTTAAAATGTTACAGTTCAGGTGAGAAAATGCTTAAGACATTTTTTCCCTTTGTCTTTCCCACAGGCATGCCTCTCTCTGGCCTTCAGTCTCTTGATATAGGCTCTACTCTACTCAGGCAACATGGCACAGCTTTTTAGGGCTGCCAATAAATGCCCAGAGACGATGCCACTCTATTATAAACCTCAATCCAAAGGAGTTCAGGCCTAGCTTCCTGGATCAGCAACCAAGTTCCCAAAAATAAGTGCCTAGAGACTTAGTACTCCTCAAGCCATCCTCCTACTTGAAGGTCCATTCTGGCAAGTGGATCTGCTGCCATTGCTTGTCTGCCTATCCTCTTATGTCAAAGATATATGAATATGTAAATAGATGAGAGAGAGAGAGAGAGAGTTGTCAGGTGCCATGGGACTAGTTCAAACACATAGCCAACTGTGTACTACTAAAAGAAATATTGCCTGGTCCTACACCATTCACACAATTGGTTTAAGTCCCTTGTTGCAGCTACTGTGTCAATCCATCTTGTTAAGGGTCACCCTCTGTTCTTCTGGCCTTCCATCTACCAAATATGATAGATACCATTTTCCAGGGACTGGTCCCTCTGAATATCATCTGCAAAGTACAAGAGACAATGTCTAGCCATTCTTGTTTCTAAGGAACAGTCCTGCTACACTCCTTTCAAAAGAGATTTGTTTGTTCCACTAGCAATCCATATTGTATCCAATATTCTTAACCAACACCACAATTCACCTGCATCCACTCTCTTCTGATCCTCTGTGTTAGTCTAGGTAGACCAGAGAAACAAATCTAGAGAAACTGAAATGTGTGTAAGAGAGAATTTTATATCAAAGAGAAATTGTACTTTAAGAAAACACCCCAGCGAAATTCAGGTTAAGTCCATAAATCCGATATTAGCCCATATGTTCACTACAGTCTATAAATTCTTCTTCAGACTCATGCAGCATATACAATGATGCGGAATGCAGGAAGCTCACAGGCCACTGGGTGGAAAGTCTTGTGGATCCAGGGATGGTGGAAGCATCTTAGCACTGGCGTGGGTCTCCACGTGGCTCCTCCAGTTCCAGGGCTCTAGGATAGCTCCATGTGTCTTGTCATCAGGAATACGAAGAACAGTGTGTGTGTCCTGCCTTCAGTGAGCTATTTATCTCTGTAGCACCAACAAATGAGGTCATCAAGCAGCGATCTGATTGACAGGCTCAACTCCACCCCTTCACTCTTAATAGTTTCATGTTGGTACTGGATTGGATTATGTAACTGCCACAGCTTCCTTATTCATTGTTTAGCTTTCATATGCATATGAAGCAACTGAAAATATCTCTTGAAATGGCGTGGGTAAGGCATATCTTAGTCCTCAAAAAACGATATCTTTCTTCTTTAAGACTTTATGGTGCTCTTTTGCATATTTTTCAAAACAATGAATTTCTTGATATTGTGAATGCTGCTTCTATTAGAATTAATTGTGGATCCCAGTGAAATGAAAGTTTTAACAACTTAATCTTTTCTCCATTTATAATGACATTAGTGGTCTGACATCACAAATAATGTTCTTCCTTCTAAGTTGTCTATAGAATCTAATTTTAGCTGTTCTCAGTTGATATGTTACTACAACAGTTTATGGATTATCTTCAGAAAAATATTGCTTGCACATTATATTAATGATATTGCTTTATACTTTCTGGAATTGGGCTACATTTGGGAGGGGGAGGAGTGTAGAAATATGTATCTCTTCAAATCTATTGGAAAAATGTTTGTCTTCTAAATTTCTTGGCATAAACAAGCTGGGGCTTCCAGTGTTACATCAGTTTTGTGGAAACATTGCAGTTAGTGACCTGTCTATCCCTGGACTCTTGTTTTTCTCCAATGCCTTCAGTATAGCCCGGATTTTGTTTTCCCTTCAGTACCATGAGCTCTTGATTGTATGCTACCTCTTGAAATTTGACACCTATTGAGTTATGGTACCGTTTCTCTGTGTATTCTTTTTTATACTTCTTTAATACTTCCTGCATCACTCAATATCTTCCCATAGAATCTTTCAATATTTCAACCTGAGGCTGAACTGCTCTTTCAACCTGAGTGATGTTGAATACACTGATTTCTTTGGGTTTCCTAAATCCAAGTCTTTGAATAATTGACTTTGTCTTCTAGAACATTTTTATTGAAAGTTTTCAGCTCTTTTATTTCATCATTTCTCTCATTTTATTTAGCTATTCTACATTCAAGATGAAGTTTCAGAATTTCTTTTGGGATCCAGTTCAGTCTTCACTTTCTCTCATGTCTTTGTTCTTGGCCTCCTTGCTCTTTCATGTATAATGTTGTCGAAACCATTCCAAAATCACATGGTCTTCAACTGTTAGTTCATAAAATCTGACCTGGAGATGGCTTCCAAATTAGGGGAAATACACTTAAGTTTATATTTTAGGCTCTCATGGACTTGTTTTTACTTTTTTGATATTCAACTTAAGCTGAAGTTGGTGTTTGATGGCCGCTGACCTTGGTGTTTGATCTCTGACTTTGTGTTGCCTAAAGAATTGAGCCTCCCATGTCGCTTTCCACAAATGTAATCAGTGTGATTCCTCTATATTCTATCAGACAAGGTCCACTTGTGTAGTCACCATTTATGTTTTTAATGAATAAGTAGTTGTTCT